GTTCTGCCTGCCTTCTCTCTCTGGCTTTCTTCCTCCTGATCCTGGGAGGCCAAATCTTCTGGACCTACATTTCCTGCTGAGCTGCATCCCAGGTCACTGCTGTCCTGTGGATGGACACAGATGGCTCAGGCTCCCTCTCCTGCTCTTGTCATTTAGGCCAGAGTGGAAACAGTTCAGGCTGCTGTGGCAGGGCCAGCAGCCTGCAGAGGAGACTCCCTGCTGGACCACCCAGCTGCTACCTCCCAGCCTCCTAAGGGTGTCCACTGTCTCCTGTCTCAGTGACTTCCCCCACTTCTGAGACCAAATGCCCAGTGCCCAAAGTTAAGCAAGGAAACGTTTCTGGTTTGTAGGGGTTTCAGTCCATAATCAGATGGCTCCAAAGCGGGGTGACACGTGGCAGAGGGGCAACCGTTCGTGGCTGCAGAAGACAGCAAGAACAACACGGGAGGGAGACAAGACTGTCTGGGTCCCCTATAGTATTTGCAGGCTGCCCTCCCGCTGGAGTCAGAATTTACAAGGGGATAGACTGAATACAGAACACATAATTTATAGGTTTATTTTATAATATTCACCCAAAAAGTCAAATGCAGAAGAGTACAAGAGATCTGTCTATGTACTAAAGACCCAAAGAATCCAGCCAAGGACCTGGATCCCATGGCAATGTCCTCCATGAGTCCAGTTGGAGGCCTAAAGCCCACGACAATGACCCATGCGAGTCTGTACCAAGGATCTATGCTGGGAAGGCCCAAAGGTTTGTGGTGAAATCTAGAAAGTCTGTGTCAGCAGGATGAAGGATCTGTGCCAGCAGGCTGAGGGCTCTGCACTGGAGTCAGGAAGTGAGTCTCAATAGAAGGATCAGAGCTCGCCCCCAAAGAACTGCAGCCATCCTCAGTGACAGCGAGGACCAGAGCTCCTCTGATGAGAATGGCTGAGTTCATTTCCAGAAAACCAGCATGGCAAGCCTCTCCAGGAGAAGCAACAGCTCACCGTCCTCCCCTTCAGGTCTCCTCGGGGGCGGGGGCGGCCTTCCACACCCAGCACCATGCTGACTCAGTTCAGCTGGGTGTTCCAAATTGACCATTAGTTAATCCACCACACCATCCTAGAGTGTGTGTAGCATGCAAACACTTAATCCTAGCCAGAACTATGCCAGATCAATCAGTGGACTGATCGACTATCACACACTATTAATCCTAGCATCATACACTCTAGATTCAGCCAGCTCTGAAAAAGCCCTCTGACTGCATGAGGCCTTGGGGAGACAACTAGGCACAAACTATAACATCTCCCCAGAGCTTCCTCTCTGGCTGGAAACTAGTCCTTTAACCTCCAAAATATACTGCACAGGGCCAAACAGCAGGAGCCCAATAAATGCTCGTTCAAGTACATTTCAAGGACTTTACAAGGGTCTATGCCCAGCTCCTCCTCTTTTAAAAGAAACTATGACCATGATAATAACCAGCACCCACAAGGCGTTCTACATTTTGCAGAGATTTTGCACGTTCATTCACCCCAGGGTGGTGCATGGAATCTCTCCCATAGCACAGATGCAGAAATGAGGCCAGAAGAGTCAGGGACCTGTTGGCATTTGAACCCAGGTCCTGGGTTGTTTTTATCCTGTCTCATAAGACTGTGAACCTTCAGAATCAAGGCCAGGCCAGGGTCAAGGGGTGCTAGCTGTTTCTGCTAGAGAGGTCACTGCAGTCAGCAAGAGATAGCAGCTTGTTTGTACCCCATGCAGGAATCTCAGGGAAGGGAAGTTTGCAGGATCCAGGAAGAAGCAAAGGACTATGGGCAGATGAGAAAAGGGGTGTGGCAGAGTGGCTTGGCCCATGTATAAAGGGGTACAATGCAAGATATTTGTGTCCCACTGCACAGTGGGCACAGACCAAAGAGAGAGTGCAGAGTCCGCAGACTCAAGGAACATCAAGTCCCAAAGCTGACAGTGACCCCAGTGTGCACGCAGAGACAGAGGACTCAGTGATGGCCAAGTAAGCATAAGTCAAGGATCTTCCGAGCCCCTAGCCAGAATTACTGCTAAAATGTCAGTGTCGTGAACCAACATGGGGGTGGCAAAAAAATTGCCAATGATTTTTTTGATGGAAGCAAAAAATGAGGATCACATAATGTCAAATTTAATAATATCCTTTCACCGGGGTGGTCTCATTATTCTACAAGTGTTCATTATCACCCCAGACTGTGGCTTCAGCAGTCTGTGGTTCTGCCTCGGCAGCTCCTCATGCAGGGCAAAGCACATAGCGGGGCCCAGCAGATAACAGTAGATATAAACTTCAGGGACATAAAATGGCCCTAAACCAAAAGAGCCATGGAACAGCATGAGAGAGAGAGAGAGATCAAGTCAGTACTTTCCTAAAAGTATTGCAGAAGCAACCAGAAGTATCCAACAATGTCTACCATTCAGTGCTGAGATACCACCATTAAGGCAGAGGACACCTCATCATTTGAAATATCCAAGCAGAAACCAGGCAACCATCAGAGACTGCACAGAAGGAGCCACTGTGATGGGAGGGAGGCCCCTCAGAACGGCTCCTGCAGCCTCACCATCTCCCAGAACTTTATGGTTCAAAAATCCATTCACTGGGCATGGTGGCACACACCTGTCATACCAGCAATTGGAGGCCGAGGCAGACGGATCCTCATGAGTCTGATGTCAGCCACATCTCCATGGTGAGTTCAAGTCCAGCCTGAACCACATAGCGAGACCCTGTCTCAAAAAATAAAAATAACACAGTGAGTTGGAGCTGCCTCGTGGCATGTCCCATTCAGAAATAGCCAGGCTGGCTTAAAAAAAGAAATCTCCGTGTCTCCTTCTATTTCTTTCAAACCCTTTAAATGTCAAGTTCCAGACCACAGCTCTGCCTTGCCGGGTGGTCGGATACCAAGCCCGTGAGCACTGGAACGGCCAGAGGAGGAGCCTGACTTCGTGAATTCTAATGCACGTCTATTTTTACAGCCATGAGACACGTCGCCTTCCCTCACTGTGCACATCAATATCACACAGGGACGCTGACACAGGGCCATCTGTCCTCGCAGAAACGTTCTTTGGAGAGAGAAGGCAGAGGGAACAGGAGGGGGATGGAGACATATTTTCGTTCTAAGTCTGAAAATGAACACGGGTTGTGATAGCTCCCATACGTGAGCTGGCCAGAGATGTCCCTTGCCAATTCCATGGGGATGGTGTGTCCTATTTTGTCACCTCCTTCTGGAGTTTAGCAAGGCCACTGAGCCCTCCAAGCACACACTGGTCACTTACTGTTTGCCTGTGGCCTGCCAGTCCCGGTCACCACCCTTTTCCCTGCTGGGCTCCTCTGGAGGCCAAGCCCACAGGGCACGAGGGTGTGGTGGTGGGGAGGGACAGGACTGCGAGGTCAGGACATGAGGCCAATCTTTGCTGAGCCCCTACAGGCCAGGCCCAGTCTGCAAGTCTAGCGGGTGGGAGAGTTCCCTTATACAAATGTCCCTATGTTAGACAGGAGGTGACCCAGACCTGGGAGCAAAAGGAGAGAAGACTTCCTGTGTGCTGGAACAAAGCTCTCACATGAACAGAACATTTCCATCATCCCACATGAAACTCTGCACTCCTAACCCCGTTTCCTACCAATCTCCCCGGTCCTACCAGACTTGCTTCTACTTCCTGTGTCCAAACATGTATAATCTAGGAACTTCATTCAAGTGGAATCATGCAATACTGCATTTGCGTTTTTATTCCTGGCTTTGTTCATTTAGCACAGTATTTTCAAGGTTTACCCGTGCTGTAGCGTGTATCATGCCTTTTATGACTACATAATATTCTGTTTATGGATATACCACATTTTTGTTTAATCTTCCATCCTTTGGTGGACCTACAATATTTCCACCTTTGGCTGTTGTGAATAACACTACTGTAAACATAGGTGTGCAACTGTCTGTTCAAGTCCTGGTTTTTAATCTAGCTAGGCACATACCAAGGTGGTAGACCCTCTGGTGATTCTGCTTAACTTTATCAGGAAGCACCGTGGGACATCCGAAGCATCAAATGGGAAGGCAGAGGGAGGGCATTAGAGGAAGGAAACAAGGACAAATTCTTTGGGTTCAGAGAGACCCACCCCATTGGAGTCCCCGCCTGGTCCCTCACTGTGGCTTTGAACCTATGACTTGTCCTCTGTGTCTGCTCACTGGCAAAACAGAAAGCTGGTCACCCAGGTCTGCTTCCACCTCAAAGGAGCTTGGTGAGGATGGTGCTGGTCAGGTTCTTGTCTCTTGAACAAAATATCTAAAATTCTAAGCCAGGGATGGTGGTGCACACCTGTAATCCCAGCACTCAGGAGGCTGAGGCAGGAGCATCACCGAGAGACCAGCCTGGGCTACAAAGTGAGCTCAAGGCCAGCCTGAACTGTATATAAAGACCCTGTGCTTCAAAAAGACCAAAACAAAAGAAATAAAGAGATACAGATATATAAAATGTCCACATCTCAGAGAAGAAGCTGACTTTGGCTCATGGTTTCAGGGTTCAGTCCATGGTCCACTGCTGGCTCTGAGGCAAGAATATTGTGGAAAAGGTTATAGAGGAGGAAAGCTGCTCCCTATACGGCATCCAGAAAGCAGAGAGAGAGAGAGAGAGCCAGTAGCCAAGAGAGAAAGATGAGCTGGGGACAGGACACGCCCTGCCGGGCCACACTCCCAGTGATCCACTTCCTCCACTTGACGCCACCTCCCATTCGGCTGTGAGCTCATGAACTCATTAACCCACTGATCAGCTCAGCAGGTAGCTAGTTATTCTTGGCACCTTTCTCAGGGGTGGCATAGAGTCTGAAACCCAACTTTTCAACACTCGCGGACCTGTGGGACCCCTCAGAGCTGGCCCTATCCTTTATCTGCTCCCATGCTGCAGTGAAAGTGGAGCTCCTGTCTCAGTCCTGGCCCCTCCCCGTTTCTCTGGCACTCCATGGCTCCTCACTGCCCGAGGGTAAAGTCCACACTATACTGTGTGTCTTCTGAGACCTGCAGACCCATCCCCTCCCTGCTTCTACAGTGATTATTCAAGCACCTGCTTCTTGTCTCCAGTTCTCCAAACCTCTTGTATTTCTTGCTTTTATTTCAGATTCTCTCTGCCCCTCTGGTCTTTGGAGACAGAAACTGAATCTCTGTCAAGATAAAGCCTGGGTCCAAGGTCACACTGCTGGCAAGAAGCTGTACTAGGCTGGGACCCAGATTCGGCAAACTTCAAGTCTTCTGGCTTCAGAGGTACAGTGCAGAGAGCATTGGCGGTCAGGAGTCCTGGGGTGTAACACCAGCTCTTACTCTCAGGCTGGATGACTTCAGGAGGTCACCTCTCAGGAATCTTGGCCCTGCCACATCTAGCCCTGGGGTAATAAAGTGCTACCCAATCCTAAGATCATTAGGAGTATCACAGAGGGAGTATACGATTGCTGTTACTTGGGAATCAGTTGCTCTTGTCTTTCCTGCCCTAATAGGGACTCTGTTGAGCTCTGTGAATAAAACCCCTAACATGAGGACAAATTTGAATGGAAAAATCCCTGGGCAGCACGGCTCCATATCTAGTGGCCAGGACATCAAAGTGGCCAGTGTACCTGGAGATGGCTGAAGTGCTTCAAGCAGACATTCAAGGCCGGCAGCTCATTTCCTTAACAAAGATCAGAGCAAGCAGGGACACTTTGGGGATCTAGTTACAGGCAAAGGTTGGGAAGATAACAGGAAACACATTTGCACCTTTGCAGTCCACAGACTCAGCTCCTCCATGGCCAGGCCAAATGCAATGGTGAAGCTGTCAGCTGCTTAGGACAGGTCACAAGGGCTTCCACCAGGGTCCCAGGCTCTTGCTGGCCCACCATGGGAAGTCTTCTGGAACTCAAGAGTCTGGGATGATCCTTGAGGAATTCTCTAGAAATGCTGACCACTCTCCCAGACAATTTTTTCCAATATAGCATTCAATTGCTCTGACACTATTTTAAAGTTCGATGTATAACATTTTCCACTCCTGAGTTGGGGAAGTGGTCAGACAAAAAGTAACCAGCTTCATTACAAAACTTAAATATATATTGATTCTCGAAATTGTGCACATGATCACAATCATGCAGACATACTTCATGACCTGGCAACTCCCATCCAGGTTGTATTAGTCAGCCATGGCTGCATAACAAGTCGTCTCAAAAATTTACCAGCTTAAAACAATAAGTATTATACCAGTTTCTGTGGGCCCAGAGTGTAGGGGAAGTTTTCCTGGATGGTCATGCCATTAATAAACTGTCAGTCATGGGGCTGGGGATTTAGCTTAGTGGCATAAGCACCTGCCTTGCAAGCAGGCGGTCGTGAGTTTGATAAAAAGTAACCAGTACCGATAAAAAGATTTAAAAAAAAAAAAAGAGCAGGGATAAACTGTCATTCAAGATGTCATGTAGGGTTGTCACTTGACCAGAACTCAGTCCTGCAGCCCCATCTGTGCAAGAACTATCCTTGCGGCACAACTCAGTGTAACAGAGGGGGAGCTCTCTGGCCAGACAGGAGATGTGGAGGAGTTCTACTATGAAGTTGCTTGCCTGAGTGGGGATGATTCTACAGAGGAAGAGAAAGCCTAAGTTTTTCTCAGAGTTCTGCTTTATAATAATGGGGGCCATGGCCCGAGAAATAAACCAACTCAGGTCTAACCTAGGGACCCAAACACTCTTGCACAAGGACACAGATCTAGTCCTCTACAGCCGAGTCATCTGGGTGATGTTAGCCACTCCATTTGGGTTCTTGCCAAAGCCCCCTGCAAGGTGGTTGATTTGTCACTGAGGAGGATGGTGATATTGGAGTCAGTTAGTTATTGGCTGTTTGATTCATTTGTTTGTGAGTGGATTGGTTGGTTTGGTTTTGTATCCAAAGTAACCTCCAATCCCCTCTCTAGAATTCCAGACTCATTTTCACCTGGGTGATGCACAAACTGAGTCACTGCTTTCCCTTCGCATCGGCTCTTCCCCATGGGTGCTCTTGGGTAGGGATCCACTGCTCCCTCTACCATCCAACTGGAAACTGTTACCATCCCATCCTCTGCCTCCCAAGCCGGCCAGATCTAAGGGGCCCTGTAGGTACCAGTTGGATGTCTTCATTCCTTCTTTCCAGATGGTGGGAGTGTGGATAATACTTGCCTAATGGCTAACACACTGTGTCCCAAGCAATGAACACACAGCACAGTTCCAACTCATTTGGCAGGCCCTGGTTCCCACCTCCACACTCACCTTGGCTAAGCACCCCCTGGCACCTCTCTCCGAAAGGCTGTCCCATGGTGGTCACAGCCTAAGGAAGAAATTCCTGGTCCTGCATCCTCTCAGTTTTACATCCTTCAGGCATAAGATCTTGTCCCCCAGATATCACTGGCTCTCTTTGGGTCACAGGATCACCCTAGGACTAGGCCATGTGGCCAAAGAAAAGCTCTGATTGTCTGAGCCTGAGCCCCACAGCACAATTCTGCACTGGGGTAGAGGACCTGGTCTCCCTACTAGAAGCACAAGAAATGAAGATGGGGCAGAATGGGGTCCTTTCTGCCTGGAGAATCAGGACACAGCAGCTAGAGAAAGGACACATGGATGGCTGTGTGGGTGACAGCTGACCCTCTCTTATGAGACACAGGGATACAATGTACCTGCCCTGTGGAATATTCCCAGCGAACACAGCTATCACCAGCATCTGCTTTGTGTTAGTAACTTTTGGGTCTGGGAGCATCATGATAATTTTGAAAGCTAGAGATCCCCAGACTTGGTGGCATATATAAATGCAAACCTTTATGGTTCTCACAGGCTCTTAGAGATAACAGGTTGGACCTGTTTTAGGTCATTTTATTTTTCATCCATTAGGTCAGAAAGCTTTTATACTCCATGACTTCCAAAAGAATATATATGTTATTCCATGGGAAAACTCTCTGGTTTCAGTCTCAAACACCATGGAAGTTGGTCAGTGTCTTCAGGAAAAAAGCCACAGCCTGCCTGGTCTTCCCCATCAGTCCCATCCAGGCCCACGTTTTTACCCCAAGACTGGCCACACTGTCCAAGCCTCTTCCACATGAACAGTTCCTCCCTGCATCTCAGCTCCTGGGATTCTGAGAACCCATCCATGCTGGCTGTGGCCCCAAGAGCGGCCAGGGAGGGTGCAGGCTGCCGAGGTGGTCATCTGGCAGGCTGACCCGCTGTCTGGCCGTCTGGCTGGCTGATGGGGCTGCCCAGATCCCGGCAGTTGGCAGAGTTCCCATCTGTCTGCGCAGCCCACACCCCAGCCCTGCTGCCAGCCAGGGCTTATGCCCTGACCATTAGAGGCTCCGTTTGTGCCATTAACGGGCACGCTGGCGACAGCTGCCGGCAGCAGGTGCAAAGCCAAACAGAGTCGGCTCTGGAGAGAAGTCTTCCGCTTGTTTGAGCCAGCTGCAGAGACAGCGAGAGAAGCAGGAGGAGAGAGGAGGTCCCTTCTGAGAGCCGGCATCGAACAGGGAAGGTCTGAGCCTGGGCTTTCATCACAGTCAGTCAGACTGATGGGCCAGCTGTTTGTGCACCCAGCCACACCAGTGCAGAACGTCCCTCTTCACCGAGACTGGGATGGTATCACCTGCCCTTTCTCTTCCAAAATTCCACCTCCAAACCTGGACTTTCCTCCTGGAGTTTTGAAACAGGCAGTGTTTCAGGCCTGCCCCAGACCTCGCAAGGGAAAATTTGCAGGATAACAATTTCCCCAGGTGGACGTGAGGCTCTGAGCAGTGCCAGTTTGGTGATCAGGCATCCAGGTAATTGTTTAATCATGGCTGGTGCTGTCATGGGCACTGGGGCACATCAGGGAGGAGAGAGGTAAAATCTTCCCAGTTTGGTGCAGCTTCAGTGGAGAGAAATAGACAATAAATAAAGACGTAAAATAGAATGCCAGTAGATGATAGATGCTAAGGAAAAAAACAAGGAAGGGGAGAGGAAAGAAGAATGCCAGTGGGGAGGGGGGCAGATGCAAATGGGATGGGCCTGAGGAAGAAGCCAAGCTGAGAGGAGGAAGGGAAGGGCAGAGGCGACCAATGCATGGTGTGCCCAGGACCAAGGGGAGTTCAAGGCCAACCTGTCTCCAAAGAAAAAACAACAACAAAAAAGGCCAGGCATGGTGACGCATTCCTGTAATCCTAGCACTTGAGAGGCTGAGGCAAGAGAACTATTATAAGTTCCAGACCAGTGTGGACTACGTAATAAGTGAGACCCTGTCTCAACACACACACACACACACACACAGAGACACCTCACAAAACAATAAAACCAGACCAAGGGGACTCCTGGGAGGTGTGATTTTCCATTTGAAAACCAAGACCAGTCCCAGGCAAATGGACAGCTGGTCCCTACAGAAGAAGGGGAGGAGAGAGGGAAGGAAGAGAGCAGGGAAGGAAGGCTCTATCTCCTTACAATGGAAAGACAAGACAGCAGCAGACACAGCAGATAGAACAGGAGGCAGATGGAGCCCATAGTGAGACTCTGTGGCCCCTGTGACTGCTTGGATCCAGCCGTGCCTGACACAGGGACACCCTTCACCATGTCCTGGGCTGGCATGCACCCCTTTCTTCATGATCATGCTCCACCTGCTTGGCCCACAGATGGTAGGGAGTACCTGTCCCATCGGATGGTGGCACATTTGGTGGGGAAGTGGTACAGCCACTCATCATGTGGGTGTTATGTCCTGACTCCAGTGCCACCATCCTCACCCAGGAGCCGTGGGGATGGACTGGAACTTCACACAGGATGGGTAATAAGAGTTGGGGCCAACCCGATATGGCCTGTAGGGGTCACAGATCTGTCAGCAAGCTGTTGGTGGGCTCCCCCTGGGCTGTCCCCGGCCTCTCCTTCAGCCCTGGGAAGCTCCTTGTGCACCCTGGGTGTGTTTGTATGTGTGTGTTGTGTGTGTGTATGTGTTTGGGTCCAAGTTTCTTTTCCTCCCTTTTTTTTTTCCTGTGGCACTGGATATGGTACCCAGGGACCGTGTGCATGCTGGATTTGGGGCCCATTCTAAAGCCTGCCTTCACCGGTTATATCTGCCATGACCCTATTTCTATGAAAGGTCACGTTGAAAGGCCCTGGGGGTGGGCATATGAATGGGAGATACACATCAGGCCATAACTGAAGTTATTTGTGTTTTGTTTTGTTTGAGACAGGGTCCCACTATTGCCGTTGAGGCTGTCCTTGAACTCACTGCAATCCTCCTGCCTCAGCCTCCTGAGTGCTGGGATCAACGTCAAGCGCCACCATGCCTGGCACTTCAGCCGATAACTGGTAACAGTATAGCAAGAACACAGATCTCTAGGTTTTTCAAGGTCCCCTCTTGTGATCAGTGTGGTTCTGTTCCCCAGCTCCAGGCTAAAGGGAGCCCCAAGAGGTGACACTGAAAGATTCCTTGGTTGATCCAGGCCTTCACTTCTAGCTACTTTGAAGGGGGAGGGAAAGGATCTCAAGTCTGAGGCCAGTTTGAGCAATGTAGCCTCCTCTGAATAAAAAAATAAATTATTCTTTTAAGAAAAAAAAAAAAAGAGTCGGGGCCAACTCGCTCAGTGACCAGGGAAGGCCCTGATGAGAGCTCGCTAGATCTGGCCTGGCCCCCATCTAGAGGCGGTCTCAGAGTTATTGTTTCTCGCAGGAAAGTCTTTTGGTCTAATAAGCTATGTCCCGGGCATTAGGAGACAGGAATGCTAGGTACCTTTTTTCCCCCCTTTCCTTTTATTTTCAATGTTCTGCCTGTGGACTTCTTTCCTTCCCCCTCCTTTTGCAGCCCGAGTCGCTAACTTGCACATTGCAGGCAGCTCCTGCGAGCTTGGTCCCTGAGTGCTACAAGCCTGTAACAGACACTCACTCAGCAAGCCGCGCTTGGCTTCAGGAGGGGCTGGCAGGCCTCGCTAAAATTACATTTCCATTCCGGTGCCTATGTTTTTAAGCTGTTATTTTAGCATTTCTGACTGGTTCACAGTTGACACCTACTGATGGAAAATTAAATGAAACTTGGCCAAGAACGAGCCTTCCCTCTCCTCTCCAGGCTGAGCTTTTAGCTCCTTTTGGAAGAAGACGCAGCTTCGAGGGGCCAGGAAGACTCCCCAATTTGGAAACAAGTCTGCAGCACTGTCCTATCTCTGCCACCCAGGATCCTTGGAGCCTGGGGGCAAATCAGTCCCCTGCCTGTGAGCCCAGCTGCTTCTATCATCTGTGAAGGGGACTCAAATGGTGCTGCAGGAAGCCAGAAGGGGTCAGGGGACATCGTGCTATCTGCCTGGAAGGTGAGCACATGAATGCTGTGAAGAATCTCAGCACACAGTAGGTGCTCAGCAAATGTGGATTGTGTTGGTCTCAGTCCTTTCTCTCTCGGCCATTTGATCTGACATCCTTGGGGTTGGTTTGTGCTGCCAACTGGTTAACTAAGACATAAAACATGCGGGTGCCTCTCCCCACAGCCAGGCTGCACGGAGGCCACCAGTCAGTGTTAGTGAAAGCGCTCCAGCATGGTCCTTGCTGGGGACAGTGTCCTAACTTCACGGGGCCACAGCAACACAAATCGGCACTCTCCCCTTCCTCTTCCCCCTGCCACACAAATCCTGGAACCAGCTGCCCGATGCCATTTATTGCCTGTCAGCACACCATGGGGCAGGGTGTCACTACAACTTGTCTTGAGACAACCCTGGCCCGACACCGCCCAGACAACCCACCGCTCTCACTAATGGCCATCCAGCCCCTGCTACCCAGCCAGCGCCTAGACCATGGACATGTTCACACTTGCTCATCCCTCTCTTCAATGCCAGCACACAATGCTTAATAGCATAAGAGGATTTGCTGGATGCGGTGTTACATGCCTGTAAATCCTAGCACCAGGGAAGCTGAGGCAGCCAGGGCTACAAACAAACAAAAAACAAAGAGGAAGGTCAGAAGTCAGCTGTCTCCACAGGAAATGCAAAGGTGATCACATCAGTCAGGACAATGCACCCCTGAGCTCACTGACAGGCCTCAGTGGAAGCCCACTTCCAGCTCTGGGTCCAGGCCCCTTCCTGCTAGGTCTCATCTGCTCAGACCCCAACTTGACACAGGCAATCAGGGATGAAACCCCAGCCGCAGAGACCTAAGGGAAAGCTGTGTTCTTCGCGCTGTGGTCTCCCTAGCTGTTCAGCAGAGGTGGTGGTTACCGATGTGTCCCGAGGACTGCTGATGGGCGTGAATGGCAGCGTGCCCATCCTCCATCCGTGCCCAGTCAGCATCCACCAAAATTGTACTTCACCCGTGTGGCTTGTGGGCTATTCCATCAAACAGGCCTCTAAACAAACATGGACATGATACCAGTAAATGCAGTGCGGGTCTCCACCCAGAGGCAGAGCTGGACATTTGGGTGGTTTCCTGATTGGAAGAAGAGGTAACTTAGAAGCTCCCAGCAGGTCCTGCAATGGTGGCCCGGAGGTTCCTGGGTGGGGCTTCAGGGCTGAGGACTTAGGGGTGGAGCACGGAGTCTCAGTGGGGAGACAAAATAGCACACAGAAAACTGTCCCCCGTATCCTGTACAACCCTTGGGAGGTGGCCAGTCCAGCCACAGCCAACCTTTCCCTCTTCCTGTGCCCCCAGCTTGTCCCTCTCTTAGGGACAATGATGGAGAGCTCAGGCAGCTGCCACCTGGCCTTGGGTCTCTCTCACTCTATCAGGCATGGTGCAAGTCCTGGACGGAGGGTAAGGATTTGGAAAATGTTTACTGAGATTGAGATGTGATGTCACTGAGCTGGTGGCTTTCCCTGGGGCCAGTGCTGGAACCCCACTGCCAAGCGGGATATTAATCTTATAAAGCTGTGGCCCTTGGAGGAAGTAAGGGACCTGGAAGGATACAAGAAGCTAAACAGACAAGGACCAGAGGCGGCAAAGGAATTTCTACCTAAAGATGCTGAGGAACAGCCAGGCACAGGAGTGCAGAGGTAAAATCCTTGTACTCTGGGAGGCTGAGGGAGGAGGATCACTAAATTCAAGCCCAGCCTGGGTAACTTAGTGGGACCCTGGCTCCAAAAAAAGGACTGGGAATAAGCTCAGTGGGAAAGTTCTGGGTTCAACCCTTGGCATGAAAAAAAACATTAAGGAGCACTCTTGTCTGGGAAAGGTGAGCCCAAGACGTGGAGTTGCACTGATGAGCAGACTTACTGCTGTAACTTAGATGGCATGTTTATCGGGGTGCTTTGAGGGGACAGCTGAGGAAGTGGAGTGGGTGGCCCCAGAGACATCAGCCTCCCCCCAGCCACCCAGCTAATAGTGCCAGCAGGCTTCCCTTTCCACCCAGGTGCCAATGCACCACCCCCTGTCTCCAGACAAGGGGCATCCGTCTGCCTTGGCAAACCTGGCATCATTACAGTCCCGCCCCCCATCCAGGGTGACCTTGGCGACCCACTTAGCCCCTCGAGTTCCCATTTCCCCAGCTGTAAATTGAGCCCAACCTCCATGCCACCCTTCCCCACATCTTAAGCAGGTCACCTCCCCCACACAAAGGACAGCGAGGGAGCCCAGCAATGAAGCCTGGTTACCAGGGAGCGGGAAGCAGTGCGGGCTGCAGCTGGGGATTACAGGGAAGCCACTGGAGGCTCCTGCTAGTGGCACAGCCTGCCCAAGAGGCTCCGCTCTTGTCAGAATATTAACGCCCTGGATGCATTTGTGCCCCCTGTGATTGTGAGCAGGGGTTCCAGAAGGGCTGTGCTGCATGCATATTTATGAGCCAAGCCTAGACAAAGACTACCACATTTTAAAAGGTGCAATTATCTCTAAAAAGTTCAGCTTTATTTTCATGCTAATGAATACAATATTTTTAAGCAAACCTAATTGGTTTGCCTAGGCTCCCATAAAAGCTCTCAACTCATTAGAGCTCTGAGGTCCCCTTCAAAAGGGGCTTTAGAGGGGATTTGGGGGGAGGCAGCAAAGAGGGGGTCGGTGCCCAGGAAGCCATTTGCACAAGTTTTCCAGCCATGAGTGCTGCCATGCCCTCCCCATGCTCCTTCCCAGGCCTGGGAATAAGGAGATCAGGGCCACCCTGGTGGTCAGGCCCTGGGAATAAGGAGATCAGGGGAAACTGAGGGCCAAGGGGGTTGTGCTCCCTTCTTGCTGCAGGCTGGCTTCAGCCCCAAGGTACAATGTACAGTTGGGAGGATGTACACTGTACAATGCTAGGGTCAACACAGTCCATGAATGGTGCCCCCTGGAGTTGTGCAGCAGCCCAGCAACCTGGCTTCTCCTGGTGTCTGCAGGGCGGTTACAGATGGTGTGCCTATCAAGTGTGCAGGAAAGGACTCTGGGATTGGCCAGAGCTTTTCTGCTTACACAGCTTCCCCTAACTGCCTCTGTGGAGATACCCCGCAGGCTGGGAAGGCCCACAGGGGGTTGGAGAAACCAGTGGGAACAAGGCAGGGGTTGGTCGGTCTGCAGGAAGGAGGTGGAGGTCCAGGCCAGATGCTACCACTCTACAGCTTTGTGCCTCCACAGCCCCTGCTGCCAATCTCTGAGATCCCACCCAGAGCGGTTTCTTTCCATTCCAGGGCAGCTTTGCCTAAGAATCATTGAAAGAAGGCCATAAAGCAGAGAGGGAGGAAGAGGTTTCTAAAAGTCAACCTTGCAGTTGTGATTCCACCACACTGACTGGGTCACATTTCCAGGACCAAGCTCTGGGGGATGACAGGGAGCTGGCTGGGGAGGCTGGTGGCAGAAGAGGATATTGACTAATGCTTAAACACCACACCAAGTAAGCTGGGTGTGGGGTTGCACACTTGTAACCCCAGCACCTAGGAGGCTGAGGCAGGAGGACCTCCACGAGTTCAAGCCCAACCTGGACTACACAGAGAGACTCTGTCTCAAAAAGGAAAAAAAAGCAAAGTTTAAAAAATAAACCAAGTAGGGGCTGGGGGTTTAGCTCAGCGGCATAAGCACCTGCCTTGCAAGCAGGCGGTCATGAGTTCGATCCCCGGTACCGATAAAAATGAAAAAGACAAAAAAAAAAAAAAAATCAGAAAAAATAAACCAAGTAACCCAAAAGGCGCAGTAGACTCAGCACCCTGTGGAAGGCAAACACTGGTAAGGAAACAGAAGCAGACGTAGGTGACCCTAACTGTGTGAGAGCCCCCAGAACACACTGGTCCAGGGTAGAGTCTAAGGCTGAGTTCAGGGCTGTGTTATTCTAGCAAAAGGGCCTTCACGTTCCCTGCTGGGCCTCTCTCTGGTCCCCAGGGCACAACTCAAGGGCTTTGGGCATCAAACACCCAACCTGGAGGTGTTACTGCAGGGACTTCTCAGGAGCTCGGAGCCAAACCTACACCCCAGGCCTTCTACTGCCTAATTGGCTTAGATTTATCAAAGTAATTTTAAGGGAGAATTGTATATGAAGGTAATTAGCTCAGTTGAACTAATTTTATTAAACAATGCTGCCTTAGTGACAAACAGATCTGTTATTAATTTGTAACCAAGCAGCTATTTCATTTGGTTTGCTGCCTCAGTAATGAGCCCTGCAGTGGCTGCAGCCAACAAACCCAAGCCAGACACAAGTGTCCAGCACCACCTTGCACACTAGAAACTCCGAAGGCCCTGCTGTCTCTGAACTGTTTGCCTCCGTGCTATGAAGGCCTCAGTCAGAAGCTCCCTTAGAAATGGCCATCCCACGGTGCTGTCTGCCTCGGTTTCCCCATCTGTAAACTGAGGGAAACAGCAATGCCTACCTTCTAGAGCAGTGATGGCAAAACTTGTAGATCTTTCGATGGTACAAATAGCCCTCTATGGCACGTGTGCCATTGGTTCGCCACCACTGTCCTCCAGTAACTGTGAGCGTGAACTGAGGGTGAAGCTGGCCAGCACCCCAGCTGGGGCCCAGGCATGAGAAGTGTTTGTACAGTGCTTTCCTGGCTACAGACAGCAGGGAGCCCACAGCCAGGGATGCAGTGGGAGGTCTCTGCTTCCCCAATTGCTGGCACCCTCTTGAGTCTGAGTTTGCTCAGACCCATTCCCTTCCACTCCTGGAAATCGATAGTCACCCTGGTAGCCCTCAGGGCTGTGCCTTGGTTTCTTCATCTCCCCAAAAGAGGCCACCCTCTCTGCCCAGAGTGTCCCTGGCCACCCTAGCGGACAAGCAGGATCACCATCGAAGTCTCAAACATACTGAGTTGCTCAGGACACCTGGAGAGCTGATGGGAAAGGCTGCTTCCTGACACTGCCCCACCAGAACTGGATCACACATGTTGCTCCCAGATCTATGTGCTTGGGTTGCCCCCAAGAACCCCTAGTCTCTAGCAGTGAGCTTTGCAGGACACCCGATACCTGCTGCCTTAAGGGTTTTTCTGTGCCTGTGCCACAAGAAAGAGAAGAGTGGTTTCAAGAAGAAACAAAGTGTGTGGCTGACAGTCGGGTAATATCGGCCCCCAACCCATCCGTTCCTGGTCCTGCGGAATGCATGCTGCACCTGTGCAGGCTGGGAGGTTTGCACAGCTGGAGTTACTTTGGGGCTGCACTCCCCAGAAGCTTCTCTGAGTCCACCTGCAGTCTTAACTGCTGAGAAACAGAAACTCAGGGTTTCAGCAAGTAGCTATTAACCACTGTCACACAGACCATTGCCTCCCCAGGTTACAAGAGCACCCAGGCCCACCCCAGCACTGACTTTCTGTGATTAAGCCCTCCCTTGGATGAGGCATTTTGTCTCCAGAAAGCCATCATCAAATCCAACACACAAATGTACACTTAGCTCTTAGCCAGGCCCACCCTCCTTCCTCTCTCCAGCCAAGTAGCTAAATCTCACCCATGCTTTATGACCAACTCAAGTTCCACTTTCCCCTTCCCAAAGCCTTCATGAGCCTCTCTGCATTTCCCAGCCCTCCCTCCAAGATGGGCGGAGACCATGTGCTTACTGCTGACAATAACATGTGCTCCTCAAGGCTCCTCAGTAAAGAGCTGGCCACAAGCATCAGAGTGCTGCTGGGCACGTTGGCACATGCCTATAATCCCAGCACTGGAGAGGCTGAGACGGGAAGATGGCTGTGAGTTCAAGGCCAGCCTATACTAATAGTGAGATCCTGTCTCAAAAAACCAAAAGAGTATCAGAGTCTCACCTCACACTAAAGTATTCATCAGCTATCACTGTGTGACAATAAGGCCCCAACTTGGTTTTAAAAGGCAGTAAACAGCTATGACCTAGCCAGTTGCTGCACAGCAGAAACTCTGGAGCTGCCAGGTAATGGCTCTGACTGAAGTCTCTCAGGGGAGAGTCAAAACTCGAGGATGGACTGTCAGCATCTGAACTCTCGTGGACTGGAGATGGTACGTCCTCAAGGCTCGTACCCTCCAGCTGGCAAGTCAGGCTGGCTGTTGGGAGGCCTTGGTTTCTGCCACACGCATCTCTCCAAGACATGCTTGTGCCACGGTGGCTGGCCCTCCAGAGTGAGCCATATTTAAGGACAAAACTGAAGCATCAACATCCTTTCAAGCTTGTCCTCAAATATCATATATCTTCACGCATCAGTACCCTTGTCTCCATTAGAACTGAGTCATCAAGTTTAGCTCACAGTCAAGGATAGGAGAAATAGCTCCCCATATGGAAAGCAGGAAGGGCAATGAACTGGCGGACACATTTTTAAAACCACCACAAATGTTGTCCGTACTAGCAGAAGGGAAAAGAAGCAAGACTCCCTCCTCACACCACCCTGTGATCAGAGAGAAGATTTTCCCAGAAGGCTTTGGTAGTCTTTCCATTATTGGCCAGAATCGAGTCACGTGTTTGCCTTCTAGACCAATCACTGGCAGAGGGAAACAATCTCGTGACTGGATTAAACCAATCAGAATCTTGCTCTGAAAGCAGGCTCGTTTCTGCTTTAACATAATTAGGTTTCCACCAGCAAGGGGTTAGGGGAGAACAGCTGCTGGATGGGCAGCAGGAGTGCCAGCCATGGTGTTCTATTAATTGGGTGGTTGGGAAAACTTAGACACTGAGGTGGGGATAATCTACAAATAAGAAACGTGGTTACTTTATTAACAGCTTTCTACACTGCCAACCACAACTGAATCATTTCCAGGATCTGTCTGAGAGAAGGATTAGTTCACTCGGGTTGGAGTTTCATCCCTAGGGTGCAGGGTTTTCAACTCAGCTGACCTGGCCTGGAGTCCTTGTTCTATGAAACGTTGCCTGGGTAACCTGGGCAAGTGTACTACCCTCACAGAGCCTCCGTTCCCAGCTATGTATAAAGAATGATAATGCTACTTGCCAGGTTCCAAAGCTAATGGAATGTGCTGTGTGACCTAGCAGGCCGCATGCATTTTTATCATCCCCTTTTGCTCTGGGTCTTGGGTGAGAGACCAGATACCACCCACCGGAGGCTTTTTTTGTTCCCTTTCTTCCCATCTCCAATTCCAGTGTATGTGCAGAAAAGAGAACAAAACCCCGAGGCCAAATCCCCACCCTAGAAACAATGGCCCCACTGTTAACACCTCAGGCAATGGCGCCCCACCCAGCTGAGGAAGCCCCCACTCCCAGCCTCAGTTAATAACCACCACAGGCTGATTTAATGTGAGTAGCTGATCTCACCGCTTCCATGGCAAGTTTAATTTGCTAGGAAAGCAAGTTGGGGAAGTTCTAATAACACAGAGCTGCAAATAATACCAAGGAGAGTTTGCATTATGATAACTTTCCAATTAAAATGGATTAATGGAGGAGAAACAGCAGCAGTAGTGTCTAGACAACATATTACTAAATCCTTGGAGAGGGAGAGAGAAGGGAGCCAGGGGAACACAGGAAAGCAAGATAAACTGGTGAACTTTATGAGTGGGTGACACTCCTTTGTGATGGGATGTTCTGGAGGTGACAGTAGGTCATCCTTATCCCTGGTGTCCTGTCAGCTACCACACTGGACTCAAAGAAAACCAATCTTTAAGGACCAAAGACCTTGGGTCTTTTGGATTCCTCATTAAAATGCAAATCGCACCTTGGGTTTCCTTGACACCTCAGAGCTGGGATTAGCCTGCTGTTACCTGGGAGCTTTGGGAGCCACAGAGCAAAGGCCCTGGCTGGCATCAGGGGGCCCACAGAGCTGGCTGTGACACCAGCTGTGAACACATTTGAGCTCTGTTACAGGACTGGAAACACGCTCTGCCTTACAGAACAGCCACTGAGCAGAACAGTGGTGGCAGGTAAGGCCAGGTCAGGCTGATTGGGGCTGGCATTTTTGATCGCTAGTTTTCAAGGCTGATTATTTTCCAGCTAGGTTTTATTTTCAGAGAAAAACAGCAATTCCTCCACACCTGCGCCAGCGACCCTGACTCGGACCCCAGCTGAGCAGTCCCCAGGTCCATACACAACTGCTCTCCTGGGAACCTGCATTTCAGACCTAAGTGGTGCAGGGTCTGGCCAAGCTGGGGCCAGGCTCCTTCATGGAGCTGTTTCCAGGGCAGAAAAAGTCAGAAGCTGTTAACTCAGTTCTTGAACTGTCCAGCAGGACCCGTTTTACAAGCAGACCAGGATCCACGCTCCTCTTCTTTGCTTGTGCTAGCTGGTCATTTTCTGCTGCCTTCAAACCAAAGAAGCTAAATTATTCAGTCACCTCTTACCAGTGATACTTGGGAAAAGCCAATTGACCAGGCTGAGCCCTGGCCTTTTCTCCAGGAAGAAGATACCCCTGGTACACTGCTTCCTTCTTGCACTGGTGACAAGGTGGATTAGAGATTGCCACTTAGGTCCCTCTCAGCTCTGAAGCTGGGAGGTTTCAGATGTGATTCTTAAGGCTCAGGAAAGAAGCTTTCTCAACCCAGAGGATGCTCCCAGAAATCCCCAAGCTTGCCCTGCACCCCGAAGGCACACATCTCTTGCAAAACCCACCCGCCTGTAAGCCAGTCCCTTGCAAGGAAGCGCTGGCCATGCACTGCCCCCTGCAGGCCTCCATCACTCATCACAGAGGCAAAGAAAAAGCCCTCTCACAATCAAAGGCAGCCATAGGGGCTGCGTTAAGGGCACTGTTCTCCACTCGGGGTCATTCTCCACTCGGGGTCAGCCTCGGTACAAAACTGACAACCAAAGATCCCAGGACAAGGAAAATGAAACAAGAAACGACTAGGGAGAGCCAGGTATGGTGGTGTACATCTTTAACCCCAGCACTCTGCAGGCTGAGGCAGGAGGATTGCTGTGAGTTTGAGGCTGGCCAGGGGTATAGTGACTTCAAGACCAGCCTAAACTAAATAGTCTCAAAAAATGAAAAAATAACAAATAATAACATCCAGCCCCCCTCACTCCCAGCCCCAGCAACCACCATTCTTTCTAGGAATTCAACTATTTGAAATGTAGCATATAAGTAAAATCATAAGGTATTTGTCTTTCTGTGACTGGCTTACATTATTAGCATAATGCCTTCAAGATTCAGCCAAGCAGTCAGGCATCATGGCACACTCGTATAGTTTCAGTGCTCCGGAAGCTGAAACAGGAAGATCACAAATCCAAAGTCATCCTAGACTTTCATTCAAACCTAAAATACATAGTGAGACTCAAAAAAAAAAAAAAAAAAAATCCAAGTCATAGCACATATCAGAATCTCCTTCCTTTCCACTGTACTTGTACACCAAATTTTGTTTGCCCATCCATCAGGGGGTACTTGGCCTCAGCCCTTTGGTACTGTGAACAGTGCTCCTAAGGGCATTAACACAGGTGCACACATGTCTTAGTTACTTTTTACTCCTTGCTGAGACAAAATAGCTGAAGCCCAAAGTTGGGAAAGGAAAGGTTTATTTCTTACAGTTTTTGAAGGTTTCAGTCCATACTCAGTTGGCTCCAAGGCAGGGTGGCATGGCTGGGCTGCAGTTCATGGTGGCTGCAAACAGCAAGGAGGAAACAGGCAAAAGAGTGAGACACGCCTTCTTCCTGCCATTACATTGTATGCTGGCTCCACCCTTAGCTGTGTGTAGCACTGACACCATCAATCCAAGCGCTAGACAATGAACCAATCACAAGTGCATAATGCAAATGCATGAGGCTTGGGGGCCACCGACATAAACCATGACAACACATGTTTATCTGAAGCCCTGCTTTGACCTCAATGAAGTACATTCCCAGAGCGAAATCCTGGATCATAATCCCATATTTCATTTCTTGAAGAATCACCGTACTGTTCTCCCTAGCACCTGCACCATTGTCTGTTCCCTCCAGCGAAGCCTGAGAACTCCACTTTCTCCACATCCTCACCAACACGTGTGCTTGCTGTGCACTTTGGTGGCAGCTGCCTGACCTGGCAGGACATGGCATTGTCTATTTATATTGCTACGAGCCCAAGGGTGCTGATGTTGGCATTGTCTCTTGGGTCTCCTGGCGGTTTGTGTATCTGTGGAAACGTTCTTCTGAGCCTTGGCCCGTTTTGGATTGGGTTGTATTATTGTTGCATGGTGAATGTTCTTTACATATTATGGGTAGCAGTCCTTTATCATATATACGACCCGCAAATATTTTCTCCTCTTCTGGGGGTTGACTGCCTTTTCACTCAGATGCCAGAATCCTTGATGCATAAAAGTTTTAATTTTGTTGAAGTCTAAGTTATTTACTTTTTTTTTTGGCCATCCCTAAGAAATATTTGTCAAATCCAGTTTCTTAAAATGTTTCCTTTATTTTTTTCAGTACTGGGGAATGAAGCAAGGGCCTTCACATTGAAGCCCTAAGCCCTTTTCAACATTTCTTCTTGAGACAGGGCCTTGCTAAGTCATTAAACTGCCCAGACTGGGCTTAACTTGGGATCCTCCTGCCTCTGCTTCCTGGAGTGCTAGGATTACAGGCATTCACCACTGTATCTTTTTCCCTATGTTGCCTTAAGAATTTTATGATTTTATGTCATACATTTAGGCCTTTAGTCTATTTTGAGTTAATTTTTGTGTATGTATAAAATAAGGGCCCCTAGCTAGGCTTGGTGGCTCATGCCTATAATCTCAGCACTTGGAAGGCTGAGGCAGGAGGATCATTGTGAGTTCGAGACCCACCTGGGCTACGAAGTGAGTTCAAGGCCAGCCTGAATTGCATAGAGACCCTGTCTCAAAAAGACCAAAATAAAATAAAATAAAATAAAATAAAATAAGGGCCCCAGTTCGATTTTATTACATGGAGATAACCAGTTTCCCAATACCACTTTTTCTAAAGTTGTCCTCTCTCTTTTGAACAGTCTTGGATACTGGCTGAAAATCATGATTTCTAGACTAACCATTCTATCCCATTGGTCTACATGTATCTTTATGTCTGCAGTGCATTGATTTGATTACTACATCTTTGTAGTGAGTTTTAAAACTAAGAAAGGTGAAATCTTCAACTTTGTTCTTTTTAAGGCTTGTTTTGGCTGAGATTCCCACTGAATTTTAGAATGGATTTTGAAAGGGTTTTGGCCCACACAGGACACTATAGCCAGTAAACCCTTAAAGGTGGAACCAAGGAGCTCCTATCTCCTCCACCCCTAGGAATTTCCTGTGACTCCATCTTCCCCACCCTCTAGGAATTTACCTATGGTGCCAAACCAAGACCAATGGGCTATCCGTGCATCTCTGATGCCCCTTTAGGTTCCACCCCAAACCAAGGCTATTTACACACCCCCCATGCCACGTGTCTGCCAGAGAGAAAGCCGGACCCCAGTGGTCGGGGGTTTTGGTTTTCTCTCTCCATGTCCTCAGAATAAAGGCCTCTTTTGTTTTATACTTCTCATCTTTTGGATATAGTCTTATCATTTGGTGCCATGACTCAGATCAGCAGGCAATTGACTCCTGGGACACACCCAGTTCCCAGTTGAGTCCCCAGCCAATTCACAAACCAGATTACATCCTAGATTACCTCTCCGCTTTTCCTCTCCCGGGTCCTGCTTGACTTGTCGCCAACTGCTCGCACACAACACTGGACCGATTAATCTCAGGTAAGCAAACTCCAGAGAATTCTTGGTGCTGGGCTCAGCCCCAGGCGAGTTTTCTTCCCCTTCATGTGGGTTTGTGATGCTCTCACCTCCTTAAGATAGCCCAGGGCAGGGTCTTTCTGGGCAACCTGCATCCACCCTCAAAAATCTCTCACGTCCTTTGGGTTCAGATAGCCCAAGGCAGGATTTTCTGGACTGCCCACACTGTAAGACCCTCACGTCCCTCAGAGCTTCACACTCTCACGGGCAGAACTGTTACTGACCCCACGTGGACTCCACTCATAAATCTCTCAGTGACAACTGGAATATATGAGTTTTGGGACCCTAACCACCATTTGGTGCCACAGGACGAGTGACGGCTCACCCTCCGGACCACAGCTCCTTTCTTGCCTGAATTAGTCATGGGAAACATTTTTTCTAATTCCCAAAAGACGTCTTTACAATGCCTAATTTCCAATCTATGTACTCTTAAGATTAAAAACACCATAAAAACTAAATGATTAACTTTTTACTGCCAGGAGGTTTGGCCAACCTACCCACTTATCGGCAACCCTTGGCCCAGAGAGGGGACATTTGACCCCTGTATTCCCAAAAATCTGTATGATTTCTGCCAGGCTGGCAACAAGTTAACAGAGATCTCTTATGTACAAGCCTTCCTTGTTCTGAGAACATGCTCGTCTCTCATTAAATCTTGTACTCCCACCCAGGTACTTTTAACTAACTCTGCTGCGTTGCAAACTCTCCCCTCCTGCCAACATGATCCGCTTGATGAAGTACCCCTGGTTTTTTATCGGCTGCCGCCTGCCTACCCCCAAAATCGCTGTTACCTCCCATTGTGCAATCGTTTCCCCTCCCTCTCCCAGAGCCCATAACTCTCCCAGCAGCTCCAATCCCTCTGTTAGTGCTTCCTCGCAGTCTCCGACCTCCTGTTCTCCTGAAAATTCTCTATCCCCTACAGCATTCTCACCTGCAGCCTACTGTACTAGGTCTCGGTCGCTGTTTCCTTCCGGCAAGCCGCGTGACTGTTCCAGCTTGTGCCGGGGACGGTTGCCATGTTGCGGCCCTCTGCCACGTGAAAGGGCGCCGCCATCTTGGGATGGATCTCACGGTCAATGGCCACCCCCTTGTGGCTCCTCTTGTGATCAGCAACATCCACCCTGTTGTGGACCACATGATGGTTCATTGTGCTGCGGACAGCAATTTCATCACTGCAAGGCACACAGTGAGATGCCATCTGCCAGTGTTTCCTCATTCCAGGGTAACTGGCAGCTGCTTTGGTGTCTGCCGGATGAATGGCTGCCCAATGGCCCTCTGCTCAGAAATCTTTTCCTCAATCTCTGCTACCACTTTGGGAGCAAGCTGGCCCCGAGGGACTTGTTAATATACATGTGCCTTTCTCCCTTTCTGACTTATCTCAAATTACCCATAAATTAGGTAGCTTCTCTGTTGACCCACAGAATTATATCAGAGAATTGGAATTTATTACTAATTGTTATGATTTACATTTTAAAGATGTTTATGTGATTCTAAATACCACTCTGAGGTCACAAGAGTGAAATCAGCTGTGGCAAGCAGCTCGAGAAGAAGCTGATCGCAGACATAAGGTGAACACCGCTGATAATGACCCTGGGCCTGCAGCTGTGCCAGAACAAGATCCTAACTGGAACTATCAAAACAGTGAAGGTTTGACAAAATTACATAAAATGATTGAGTGTCTGATTGTGGGCCTTAATAAAATTGCTCACAAACACACTAACTATAAAAAACTTTTAGAACAGGTCCAGGAAGCTAATGAAAACCCAGCTGTGTTCCTAAATCGGCTTTGGGAAACCTTACATAACTATACTAATGTAAACCCAGACCTCATGAAGGGATGATTGTTGTTAACTCTTATTTTATTTCCCAGTCTGCTCCTGATATTCGTGCAGAATTACAAAGGGTTGAACATGGCCCTCAAACTCCGCAAGGGGATCGACTTAAATTAGCTTTCCATGTCTTCAACAACAGAAAAAATTCAAAAAGAGGAAAAGCAAGCTTAAACATTAAAGTATGCTAAATATCAGTCTGATCTCTTATCAGCAGTACTCGGGGCTCCCAGGACAAGAAATCCAAAACAAGGTGTGGCTGCCCGAGTCCCACCTGGACCATGCTTTAAATGCAGCAAACAAGGACACTGGGCAAAAGATTGCCCCAACCCTGGCATCCCTCTAGGACCATGTCCATACTGCAACCTTAAGGGCCATTGGAAGAGTGACTGTCCTAGCCGCCAGCAAGTGGGTAAGCCATCCTTTAATCCCTTGCCCTCACAGGAGACTCCGTCAATGCCAGATTCATCACTGACTGACCTGCTTGGACTTGCTGCAGAAGATTGATGGGGCTCGGGGCTCACAGCCCCCACTCCAGTAACCTTGTTGGAGCCCCGAGTCTCACTGGAGGTCTCAGGTAAGATAATATCTCTGCTTGTGGATACGGGGGCAACTTATAGTGTACTTCCTGAATTTTCAGGACCTTGTAGTAAATCCTTGATTTCTGTTGTGGGCGTTGACGGCCAGCCTACTCAACCTTTGCAGACTGGGCCTGTCCCATGTAGATTCCAGACTCTTTTCTTACCCATAGCTTCCTAGTAATCCCAACATATCCCACACCCCTTTTAGGTAGAGACCTTCTTCAAAAGCTTAATTTTTCCTTTACTTTCTTTCTCCCCACAGCCTTAATCCTCCAAACAGCCTCACAATGCATCGCAAAGCCATTCCCTCCCCTTCCTCCTTCTCTTGTTGACCCCATCGTTTGGGACACATCCAATCCCACTCTGGCTACACATGCCATGCCTGTTTTAATCCGTCTCAGGGATCCCTCAATTTTTCCCTGCATTCCCCAAACCCCAGAGCTCCCCAACATTTAAGGGGACTTAAACCCATAATTAAGTGCCTTTTAGACAACGATTTTCTTAAACCTACCTGTTGTACTCCCCCCAAAAAGCCCCTGAGATGAAAAATGGGGCAAAACCCCTAAGATGGAAAAGATGGGGCAGAACAATGTCATTTTTAGGAAGAAGCACTTTTATTTTAGCTGGCCCAGTGACGCAGTGCAGGTGGAATTTGCAAAGCTGTGCAACTGAGTTGGAGTTTTGACTGATTTTTATAGTTCATTTATGATTAGCTCATTGATCATTAAGTACATAGTGATGAGAAACAGAAACAAGGTGGGCCTTTGTTCCCCTTTGCTTGAGGTCAGAGGCATTTCACAGTGGGTGGTTAGCCAATTCATAGCCCTTGGTCTGCCAATTCCAGGAACATTTGTCTCTCACAAAGGGAACAATGGTTGACACAGCATCATTTGTCTCTTACGAGGGGAACAAAAGTTGACAGAGCACACAGGTCTCTAAGGTGAGGGGGATGATGCATTACAGAACAGCAGAACGATGTGGTCAGTTAATTTATAACTATGTGGTTGGTGCTTGGTTACTAGGGTAACAAGCTCAGTACAGAATGACAATATTGCTAATAACTATCCTTTTAAGTAACTATTTTTGCTAATTATCTTTTAATCAATTATATTAAATTTTTTAACATCTTAGTATAACACTACCCATTCACCCCACAATACTCCCATTCTCCCGGTACTCAAGCCTGATGGGTCCTATCGCCTGGTACAGGACCTTAGGGTAATTAACAGTGCTGTTACCCCAACTCACCCAGTCATGCCAAATCCCTATACCATGCTCTCTCATATTCCTCCCTCCACCACTCACTTTACAGTTATAGATCTTAAAGATGCCTTCTTTACTATCCCCCAACACCCTGATTGCCAGAACCTCTTTGCATTTACATGGACTGACCCAGACACTCTCAGGTCTCAACAACTTACTTGGACAGTGTTCCCCCAAGGGTTCAGAGATAGTCCCCACTTCTTTAGTCAAGCTCTCACTACTGACCTCACAGAACTTGATCTCAAACCTAGTGTTCTTCTTCAATACATAGACAACCTTCTATTATGTTCTCCATTCCATATGTTAGCCATACACCACTCAGCCAGTCTTCTTAATTTCCTTGCTAGTCGTGGATACAGGGTCTCTCCTGCTAAAGCACAGATAGCCTACCCAAAAGTCAAATACCTAGGTCTCACTCTCACCCCCACCACTCCTTCCATCACCTCAGACTGTAAGGCAATTCTTCGTGATCTCCAGGTGCCCACAGCTAAACAACAGGTTACATCTTTCCTAGGTTTAGCTAATTTCTTTCGTCTCTGGATTCCTAACTTTGCAGCCCTAGCTCAACCCCTGTACAAGGTCACTAAGGGTCCCTTATCAGAACCCCTGGACCCTCCTAGGCCCATACATACCTCCATTCATAAATTAAAAGAGGCTCTCCAAAAAGCTCCGGCTCTTACCTTCCTGGTCCCACCCAACCTTTCATCCTATACACTACTTGTCAGGGCCACAATGCTATAGGTGTACTAGGACACAAAAAGGGACCTTCTTTTCAAGCAGTAGCTTACTTATCTAAACAGTTAGATCACACAGTAAAAGGATGGGCTCGTTGTCTCTGAGCTCTTGCAGCTGCAGCCCTCCTGACACAGGAAGCTAAAAAAGTTTACATTAGGGCAATCTATTACAGTACACTCACCTCATCATCTATGTGACCTTATCTCACATAAGGTGCTCCCTGCCCTAATGACCCCTTCTTGCCTTCAACAGGTACACTTAGCTCTCTGTCAAGACCCTTGCATCTCTATTGCAACTAGTGGTCCTCTTAATATAGCGACCTTACTTCCCACCTCAGAGGGCCATCCTCACCATGACTGTATAGAGTTTTTACAGATGACTCCCACCCCTTTCCCTCACATCAGTAGCACACCTCTCTCCTTGGCCTTTGACACATGGTTCATAGATGGCAGTTCAACAAACACAGACAACCAGAAAAAGGCAGGATATGCAATAGTTAACCAGTCAAAAGTTATAGAGGCAAATTCACTGCCACCTGGGACCTCTTCCCAGAGGGCAGAACTTATTGCCCTTACAAGGGCCCTTACACTAGCAAAAGACAAGATTATAAATATATACACTGACTCAAAGTATACATTTAGCATCTTACACTCTCATGCCTCTATCTGGCAAGAACGGGGTTTTATTTCCACTCAAGGAACCCCCATTATTAATGCCCCCCTTATCCTTAAGCTTCTAGAGGCAGCCCAACTTCCAAAGCAGGCAGCAGTCATCCATTGCAGAGGACACCAAAACTCTACAGATCCTATTGCTCAAGGCAATGCCTTTGCAGATTCACAAGCCAAGTTAGCTGCACAAGGGCCCTGCCCTTCTCATCTTCTCCCATTAGTCCCAAACAGTCTACCTCAGCCCAATCATTCACCAGAGCAGTTACAGCTACTTCATAAACCAGGTTACACTCAAAACACTCAAGGATGGATTTTTCAGGAATCTAAACTTGTTCTCCCACATCAACAGGCCTTAGACATCATCACTGACTTACACAACTGTTTTCATATAGAATCACAGGCCCTATGCAAACTCTTAGCCCCAATAGTCACACACCCTTCTCTAAAAGCTATCATTCTGTTATCTCTGTGCTAAGACCTCTCCTCAGGGACGTATGGCACCCCCTTCCTTTCCTACCCATCAGTATCGGGGACACACCCCTGGTCAGGACTGGCAGATAGATTTTACACACATGCCCCACCGCAAAACTGTCAAATATCTTCTCACCTTTTTTGTACCTTTTCAGGATGAAGAGAAGCATTTCCCACAACCAGGGAAACTGCTGATGTAGTTACCAAAGTCATATTACAAGAAATCATTCCAAGGTTTGGTCTACCTCAGAGTATTCAGTCAGATAATGGTCCTGCCTTTATTTCTCAGATCACTCAACAGGTATCCTCAAGCTTACACATCACCAGGCACCTACACATCCCATGCCACCCACAATCCTCAGGGAAAGTAGAAAAGGCAAGTGGCCTCATAAAGACACACTTTACAAAACTCACTTTAGAATTACACCAACCTTGGCCTCAACTTTTGCCCTTAGTCTTAGCCAAGCTCAGGGCACTTCCTCAGGCTCCTACTTTTTTAAGTCCTTTTGAACTTATGTATGACAGGCCATTCTTATTCCACAATCTCCTTACTCCCCAAAATCTCCCTCCCCTGGCTGACTATGTCCCAGTCCTCTCCTTCCTCCTACACCTGTTGTGACA